GGAGGGGGGAGGAGGAGGAGAGAGATGAGGTCAAGGGGTAGTTAAAGGAGAAAGAGGAGCATGGAGGGGAAGGAGAAAGAAAGGGAGAGGAAGAAGGTGAGTGAGAAGAATGAGGAAGAAAGGGAGAAGGAAAAGAGGAGGAGGAGAAAGGAGGATAAAAGGAAAAGGAGAAAGAAAGGAGTAGGAAGAGGGGAAGAGGAGTAAGAAGCTCTATGCTCCAGGTCACAGGTCTCCTCTTTTCTGTCTGAACACCTCTCAGAGCCACCTGAAGGTTGCTTTGCTGTGATATTCGACCCTGGTTTATTTTATTTTTACTGTGCACCACAACAGCTTCTAGCCATTATTTTCTTCCAAAGTAGTTTCACGTTTTGGTATTTGCTGCAACCGCACCCCATTCCTAGGTGGTAACTTTTGCCTCAGTCGGCTCTAGCTGTTCTAACATGGTTACCACGGACTCCAGTGGAATCAACATCAGAAATTTATTTGTCACCACTCTGGAGTTTGGGAAATGTCAGAGAAGGAAGACTGTGTGATGGTTCCGGTGAGGCCTTCCTCCTAATTTGCGGATGATCTCTTCAGCCTGTGTCAATGTGAGCAAGCCACCAGCAAGATGGGCGCCATGAAATGGATCGATCAGATTTGTCGTTTGAAAATCATTTCCGGTGCTCTGTCGATAACGGGGGGAGTGGGTAAGAGTGTAACTGTGGTGTGCAACGTTAGTGTTGCTTCATGTTCCAGTTTATCCCGGACCAAACTGGCAACAAGTTCTTGTTTTCATGGTGAGTGAACTTGTAGTTGAATCCCAGAATTTAGCCAAGAAATGTGCAGGATAAACCAAGTTCCAGTGTGAGTCCCTGGGTCAATTTATCTGTTTTATTTTTTTTTCTTTCTTTCTTTCTGAGAACTATGGAGACAATCATACCCTTCAAGTACATGACTCTAGAAGTATCAGAAAAAAATAACCCTTGATAGCAATTACCAGACAATGGCTGCAAATATTAGTAAACTAATATTTAATTATATATTTCTAAACCGTCTAGTTGTACCATGTTCAGTGTAATAAGGTTTCAGCCTCAAGAGGTAGCTAGCTTAATAATATCCTCTCTTCAATTTAATATTTCCATACTCATTCTTCCTGTACCTTCAAAACCATTTAAAATTGAATCTTTATCTCAAGGTCTACATCTTAGGGAACCCAAATTCACACACTTGGAACAAAGAGAGATGGGAAAAAAATTTTTTAGGGTGAATTGTAGGACTTGATCACTAGGCAGACAGATGAGAATAAGAGCTTTATTGCAACAAGTGCAGCCTGTTACTGTATTACGGCTATTAAGTATTTCATTTAGGAACCAATAGCTACCTCCTCTTGCAACCTAAGGGGATGTTCCTAAAATTGTAACCACAGAAGCCCCAGACATGATAAATAAGAAGCCAAGATGGAAGATTCGTATGACCTGGAAAGTCTTAAAGGATGCAGGGGTGACAGTCACATTTATACCCCTATTTAACTCACTACTCTGTCTTTTCAACACTGCCTGAATCGTGGTCTATGATATGTTCTACCACAAACTTAACTTGCAGCCTTCTTTTTAGTTGTTAGTCTGGGTATATTTAATGTACAATGATGGATCTCCAAAATAGATAATAATAGCCAGTGACAATTTATGACAGGAATTGATGAGAATATATTTTCCAGATCAATAGTTTCATAGCAAGCACCAGAAATATTGATTTGACAAATGTAGGGTTTTTTTTCTCAGTTCCTATTATAAGAATTTTAAGCAATTCACCTGAGACAATGGGATATAGTCCTGGGACAAATAGTATATAATGTTTATATTTCTTGTCATGAGAAAATTTCACTGAAAGTTTTATAGAACATTAAACCTATCCACTATACTAATAATGTTCTATTTTTTTGTGGAGAGGAAGAAATAGGAATAGGTAGTATTCTAGATGCCCTAGTGAGGTACACCTACATCAGATCATGGGATATAAACTTCAAAATAATCTGGTACCTGCCACATGGGTGAAATTTTTAGGGACCTGTCAGAGTGAAGGATTCCGGGATATCTCAAAGATAAAGATTTCATGATCTGTTTCATATTTTATCATTAAGGAAAAAAAGCAAATGCTCTGTGGGTTCCTTCGTGAATGAAGACAGCTCATTGAGAACAATGTTCCAAAATTTTGAATGGGAGCCAGATGAATAAAGGTCCCTATAGCCGTAGGCAAACAGACCTGATGCTTATGTGATAAGACTCAGTGATTCCACTTCACTGGAGGTATTTGTAGCAGAGAAGATTGATGTGTGTCATATTTCAGAAGCTCCAGCAAGAGAGCTGCAATGAAAATTCTAGGGTTCTCATGCAACAACCTATGGTCTCTATCATGGCTTCTTTCTGGATGTTCCTCAAAAGCCCCATGCAGTCACAGATGGGCCTCTTTCTGAGGTGTCTGAATCTAGGGTGTGTGATGCTGGGATTGAGGGTGTGTGATCCTAAAGCAGCCCACTGACCAGTTTGGAACCACCCTAATCCCAGTAGCCTGGAGATAATATAAGGGACAGAAAGAGGCTTATCTTGTTTCTCTTGCTTGCTTTGCTACCTTCTGCCCACCATGAACTGTTTCTCTTCTGTGAAGCCTGTCCACCTCGCCACCCTGCCTCAGAGCCAGCCATTGATGGACTGAAACCTCTATGAACTGTGAGCTAAATAACCCTTTTCTTCTTGAACTTTGGGTGTCAAGTATTTTGTCTCAGCAATGAGAGAAATGTAACTGAGACAGTCTGAAATAAGAATGTCTTGACAACTTGAAAAGCTGCTTTTAGCATGATCTTAGGCCAGGTGGAAACTGACCCTTGGAATCAAACTCCACTGCAGTCAGAGCTATTCTTCTCCAACTGGGCATTGTCAGATCTACCATCAAAAATCCATCATATGATGCAGAAAATATATCCATGAGAAAGTGGCAAAAAGACTTCAGGACACACGTGACTTACACAAACACGTAACCCCACTCATAATTGGCAGGTTAGACAAATGAATTCATCATAGCTAAAAATGCTGCCATGTTTATTACCAATGACTTTAAAATAGAGTAGGTGCAATTTTTCCTCAGTGGACATCATTTGGAGAGACCATGCATTTGGTGTGAAAGGAAAAACAGCTTCATATACGTAATGTGCGTTTTCTTGAGTAATGACAGATTATTATCTGGTTGGTTGGGGACCTGGAAAGAACATAACTGAATGACTAGAAGCAAAGATATCTGCAGCTTTAGAGATGAGATTTGTCATGAATTGTGAGAGTAGCTCAGCCCTGCAGCCATGTCCATTTCCTCCGCTGAGAAAACACAGTGTGCCAAAGAGCAAGGATTAACTAACCTGCACCCCCAGAGTTATCCTGCCCTTCTTATCAGGTGGTATCTTTCATGGCCTAACTCTGAGCAGAAGGAGGAAGGATATGCACCAGTGTAAGATTATTAGCTCTTCTTACCACTGTCCAGACAGTTAATGCCACTGAATGTTTGAATTTTCAGTAACAAAAATCAGCATTACATTCTAGATATGCAACAACTCCTAGAGTAAACCTTTCTTTCCTCCTTCCTTCCTTCATTCCTCCCTCCTTCCCTCTCTTTCTCTCTCTCTTTCCTTCTTTCCTTCCTTCCTTCCTCTTTCTTCCTGAATATCAATATCAGAAATCCACAAATTTCAAGAAGGAAGCATCCCTTTGGAATTTCCCTTAACCAATGACTTGCAGGGGTTGATCTATAAATACTTCGATTCCCTGCCCCTACAATTGCGATAATTTTGTGCAAGTGTTTTGTCCTTATTCTTCTTCTGGTCTTTAGTGCATCTTCTGACTAAAGTATTTTTCTGAATTTTTGTTTGATCATGAATCTGCTCTATAGATAACATTTAGAGGAAGCATGATTTTCACATATGTAAGTGATACATCCAATTTTTTTTAGGAAACACAAGAAACAACATTGTTTAATTATTTGTAAATACTGAAATATATGTAATTATATATACATATATCACATACACACATACATACATATTTATAGACATGCACATATACACTTGTGAGTGATATAGCATTGACTAGTTTAGACAGTAATTAAAATTTAAATTATGTCATCTAGAAAAAAGATTAAAAAGTTAGAAAAAGAAGATAATCTTGAATTGATTACTAGGAACTTTGACATTGCATATGTGTTGTATGGAGCTACAAAAATATTGAAAAATAATCAAAATGAGAGAAAAAACAAACTGTTAAAGAGAAAAGAAGTTTTAAGAAGTAATGATGATTCTTAAATGCTGCTGAGATATACAACAAATATCTCAGATGGAGGACATCTATTAATCTTTAGAAATACTGAAAATACTGGTAGTTATTAAAAGCACAGTCAGGGGAGGAAAGAAATTGAAATTCAATTTGAAAATAGTTGACAAGTAACTGATAACCCCAGAAATGGGGACCGTGAATATTAATAGCTTTTCCTTGAAGTTAATCTGTAAATGAGGAAAAAGACCTAAGGAAATAGTATCAAAGAGAGAGAGAGAGAGAGAGAGAGAGGGACTGGTAACGCTTCTCTTCTCTTTCCTCCAATGTATATATACCTGGACATATCTGTCTGTCAATATAATTTCTTTAAATTTCATTACAAGTGGCTACTACTCTCACTGTCATCTGTCTAGGCCTTTACAAAGGCCGTTTCATTTTTTATTTACCTCTATTTTTTGCCCCCAAATGGAGTGAGCCTTCATGTCTTGGTAACTTTAGACATATTTTCACGTTTCCCTCCTATCACCTTTAGACAAATGTCTCCTCGTAGGGCTCTTCATCCTCATCGCTTTCACGATCGGGGCTGCAGAGGGTGAATACTTAGCTACAAACATGATCATCAATCCAATAAAAGCTCTCAAGCATTCTCCAAATTATTGAAATGGCATTTAGTGACCCCCAAACCACTTTCTGTCTTCTCATCTTATTTTCTCCCAAAAAGCTAGAGAACTTTACACTTTTATTTTGTTTTTTGCTTATAACTATAACACTAACAACCCGTTTGATCACTCACACATTGTGATCCGAAATTTAGTAACCATCAACCTGATGAAGTTTGGAGCCCATTTTTAAAAACGAAACACTACAAAGTATAGAATTTAAAATTAATTATAAATTGTGATATTTATTGAGAAATAAAAATGTTACAAATTTTAAAAGTTGGCAAACACTATAAACATCACAATTTAAAAATATTTTTATTAATTGCTTGATATATATTTTATTTTACTACTTAAATATATAATCACTAATCATTTCTCTCTCTCTCTCTCTTTTTTTTTTTTTTTTTTTTTTTTTTTTTTTTTTTTTTTTTTTTTTTTGGCACCAAGGATCGAACTCAGGTCCTTCTGCTTGCGAGGCAGGCGCCAGAACCACTGAGCTAAATTCCCAGCCCCAGACTAATCATTTCTTAACGTTAAAATAATGTGATGTGATTTTCTTTAGGGAATTACAATGTAAATTCAATCTTTCCTCTGGTATGACTGGCAGGTTTTTTTATTATTAAAATTTGAGATACATAGTATGTACACCACATATTATTGGTGTATTTTTGTTTATAGTACTGCTGAAAGTTTGATCCTTCAAACAAAGGAGTTATGAAAAATTTAATTTTGTATGAATCTCATTAAAAGTAGAGGAAAAAGCTCAATTTTCCTTTTTATCATTGTATGTACTATAATAACAACCAGAGTCCTGTTAAGATATGAGATCTGTTTTAACTTCACTGAGGCAAACTCTTACCTTATGCCTGCCGTCTGCATGCTGGTTGATTTTTTAGGAAAAATTCCACAGATAATTTGTTCATTTGCTTGTTTGTTTCATACACTGGTTTTCCACATTCATGAGGCTTCTGTGGTCCTGGTGCTTCAGAAATGCCATAGCAGTACATCTCATGACACTGTGTTTTCACGTCACAAAGGCAGCTAAGAGACTTGCACATTCGGGGTAAGAAGATATTTTCCAGGAATATATTTATATCACTTTGATTATTGATAAATTTATACTGAAATGACTTTGAATCACACAATTCTACAATCACACATGCAATGAATGTCTTTCTCATTCCATTTGCCCATAGCCTATTCCAAGTACAAAAATATCAGTGTTCCCTCCAACCCTACGTGAAACAAGAATTGTGAGATAAAAAAGTCAGTACGAAGAGAAGCCTTCTCTGCAAAGTTTCATGTTACCCAATGACTTCGCCATACCCTGTCCACCCAAGATTTTGTGATATCAGGGTAAACAAAGAGCTTGGTGCTTAAAGTTAAACCCCATTCACTTCACACAATTGTATCTGTTGTGCAGTACACACGTGCTGTGCAAGCACAACTGTCTGTTCCCACCGCATGCAAATCACAGGCTGAGGTTGACTATGAAGATTTCATCTCAGTCCACTCTAATAGCAGTTAATTTCTACTACTGTACGACATCCCTTTGCCTTGCCTTTATCTCTTCTTTAAGCTCTTCTCTGTACTTTTTCCCCTCTATACAGTTAGGATATTGTTAGCACTGAAAATGCACATCTCCGCAGCCTGTGATCTTTTTGAGACCATGGCCTCTACGGAATTTATCACCACTACCCAAAGTGAACACAGCATTAAACGCCAGTTGTAACAGACATCCTGTGAAATATTTGCTGAACTTTAAAATCAACAAAAATATTAAATGTAAGCATGATGAAAACGAAGGATCAAAGAAATAATGGCAAAGATGAATAATAAATAAATGTATCTACCGTGATAATTAAGAAAACCCTGATTTGTCTCAACAAGAAAAAGTGCATAAACTGATTGAAATATAGAACAACACAGCAATTCCTTAGCTCCCAAGTTCACACCCAGAATTACTTGAGAGTGAAGAAAACAGCTGAGGTCTTTCTACACTAAACCTACCAGACAGACATAGGGTTAACATGTACTTATCCCTTTGGAAATGCTTACCCTTAAATATGGCTTGACTATCAAAACAGAAAATGACTCATTTTTCCCCTTGTCTCTGCCCAGGCCCTTGTGCTGTCCACCCTTTATATAGATATATACATAAGTACAATATACAGACTTACAGTACTGTCAGTTCACAAACGCAGTAACTGGTTTTGAACCACACAGACTATGTGCAAAATATTTAAGTAACTGCATACAATATGGAGATATTTTAATCACTTATTTTGGTTCAAAAACATTGATGAAGATGATTTTCTGTTACTTTAGCTCATTGATATTACGATGGAGATGTTTATTTTGATCTATATGCAGTCAGCAAGCTTTTTCTCTAAAGGACCAGATAATATTTTAGACTATGTGAATATGAAAGCAGCTTTAGGTAATATATAAATGAATGCAAATAGCTGTGTTCCAATAAAATTCTATTTGCAAAAGCAGGTGTAGGGCTGCAGATGGCCCACAGGTCATAGTTGCTGCCATGACTACACATTTAATTTGTATAAGGCCCTTTAGTCTGCACCATTTTTATGTATCTTAATTTACAGAATTGATTGTCAAAGCAAAAAATGTATATGTTAAGTTGTGTGTATTTGTGTTACCAAGAGCTATGTATTTTGCTGTCTAGAAAATACATGTATTTCTGTGGGGAAAAAAATTGTGAGTTCATACAGGTTATATTTTGCTACAGCAAAAACCTGCCCCAAAATATATTTCTCTTTTTAAAATATATCTCATCTTGGGTTGATTCACTACTGCTGTGTCTCATGTCAAAATCACTCTGTGACCCGGGTGAGGAAGGATCTGCTACACAGCACATCACTGCCCATAGTGACAGAGGGAAAGAGGCGCACCAGCTCTCAACTTCCTCCCCAATGTAACGTGTGTCTTCTATCTACATCTCACCAGTCAAAGCGAGTCTGAAGGCCATTTCAGAGGTCAAGGGGCATCATCCTCTCACATGAAGGGACAGGAACAGGAATTCTGGTAGAGTAACGAAATCTACCTTGCTAATGACTTCGCATTTTATCCATGTCAGATTTTCGACATGACCCTTGATTCCTCTTTCAAAAATATGTGTTTAGAAGCATTCAAGTACTTTTCGATGTAGAAAAAAAATCCATTAAGAAACCAATAAATTGATCTCTGCAAAAAGGTCAACGATATTTGAGAGGCAATTTAAAGCTTTCAAAGCACTTTCAAATAAACATCTCATTTATTCTTTGTGAAACTGTGAACTAATAAACTTTTATCTTACATTTACCTGTTTGTTGCATTAACCCATATTGGAACTATTTCCAAATAAAATTCATACACATGTAATATACAGGCATGGCTTTTCTCTTCTCAGTCTGCAATCCTTTGGATTAGATTGGAGTAGATTTGGTTCATTTTTAAAAATTCATTAAATCATCTGGATTTCCTCAGTTTCTTTTTACTTTTCCTATCATCTGCTATACCCACTTTTGCTCTTTTCAATAATCTATTTATAGATTTGCAAGCCCCACAGAGGGCTATTCCTGCTGCCCTCTTAATTTTCTTTAAGCAGATCATTACTATCTGATAATTATGCTGCTTGCTTATAGCAATGCTGAATTTCATTTCCTGAAGTCACTCTCTTCATATGCTTTGCAGAGGAAATTTGGATAAGTGTAATTATGGATTGTTAACCTTGAAGATACTCTAGAGTTCAAGGAAATCTTTCTCACAGAAGACAAAATGGGCTCAGAGAGGTAGAATTGCTTGCCAGAAATATCAAAAAGATATTCATAGCATATAATTCTGGCCTTGCATCTTCTGATACAGTTTTCTCTCCGTGTTCTCCTCTGACTTTACTTCATAAGTTAGCATGTCATTCTTAATCTTGAGCATTCATATATTTGGCTATTTTCTGTTTGCCTACAAGATCCACCGTATTCTGCCCCGGCTGCCTTCTGCATAAGGAGGTTGTCTATGACTGGGGCTTTGGCTTCTGGGCGGTTGGGGCAATGGAAATCACTTGCAGTGGTGGATACACTGAGTAGGCTGAGAGGCCTGTGTCTGTATCCCGCTAGTACCTAGCATGTTACACCATGCTTGATTCATAGCTGCTCTTTTCCAGTTGTTCATGAAAGAAAATCCGTCTCAGCTACAGTTACACATTTTTGGGATCTTCTAACTATTCCTTGTCTTTAACTTTTCAGGCCTAGAGTGATGATGAATTCTTGTATGCTTTGTCATACTTTTATAATCTTTACATCAAATTCATTCTTAGTAACAAGTTAGTCTTATTAACAACCTCCTTGGGACATTACTCATGTCCAATGTTTTATAAATAGTGTCTTCATTAATATCTTTTTTTATGAATTACTTTAATGGTATATTTAATGTATGCAGTGTAGTGGCATTCATCATTAGAAATTTACACCTTTACATCATCCATCTTGGTTCGTATTTTTCCCCATTCCCCTACCCCTCCTTTCAACCTCTCCACCCTTCCCTATCTACAAAGACTTTGCTTCCATTTTTACTTTTTCTCCTGTTAATTCCATTCCCATCTTTCTTTTCCCCTACCCCTACAATTTCCCCTTCCTTTTTTTCACCTTTTCTTCCTATTTCAAATTGTCTGTTATAACTTTTAGTCCTTATTACACTTTCAGTTCCCCACACTAGAGACACTATTCAGCATTTACACGTGTGCATCCTATTTATTTCACTTAAGACTATCACCTCAATGTGCATCCATTTAACCATAAATGTCTCTAGTTTCTCATTCTTTATGGCTGAGTAGTACTCCATTTTGTAAAAATGCCACATTTTCTTTAAACAGTCTCCTGTTGGTGGACAATTGGGCTGCTTCCAAGTTTTGTCTATCACAAATTGTGCTGCTATGAACATGGGTGCACATATATCATTGTGGTAGGATTCTTTTAATTCTTTGGGAAAGATAGCCAATAGGGGGATAGCAGGGTCAAATGGAACTGCCAATTCTAGTCTTATGAGGTATCTCCATACTGCTTTCCACAGTGGTTGCACCAGTCTACACTGCCACCAGCAGTGGAACAAGGTTCCTCTTTCCCCACAGTTCCACCAACATTTGTCACCGACTGATTTTTGAGAGATGCAAATGAAAACAACACTGAGATTCCATCTCACCTCATTAAAATCTTTTCATTTTCAGTTTTGAGTGTATATCTGTTTCCTAATAAGGTGTATTATTCTGGTATCAGCAAAGAAGCTATAATAAATTTTCTTCTGGTAATAGAAGGAATAGAATAGAATAGGACAATATAGAATAGAATAGAAGCCACTGGATGTCAGTCATCTTAGACAGGAGATAAAATGGTGGCATTTCTGAGTTCGTTTTGTGTTGACTTAGCTAAATAGTTGAGACTGTGTAATTTATGATGAAAATCAAAACACATTAGTTGGCTCATGGTTCTAGAAGCTGAGAAAGGAAAGAAGGGAATGGAATCAATATGAGAAAGGAAAGAAGGGAATGGAATCAATATGAGAAAGTGAAAAATAATGGAAACAAAGTCTTTGTCCATTGGGAGGGAGGGAGGGGTTGAAGGGAGGGCAGGGGATGGGGAAAAGATAAGAGATAAGATTGATTATGTAAAGGTACAAATTTTTAACAATGAATGTCATTACATTGTATACATTAAATGTACCAATAAAATTAATAAAAGTTAACAAAAATTCCCACAAGTGAATTCTGGCAGAAGCACTCCAAACCCAGCAGGGCTCTATGGAGCTCACCTACCTCGTGACAGGGGGCTGAGTATGGGCCCGGCAACTTCCCCACTCTCCACTCCTGGAAAGTCCTCCACCGGTCTTGTGTCAGCTAACACACAGATTGTTTTTCTGTGTAGATGCATAACATTATTCCTATCAGTAGAATTATTGAATAAAATAAAAGATTCCCAAATCTGACTTCCATGTAAAGCACACATAAATGTCAGTACAAATACACACTATGCATTTGTTGGGATTTACTTAAAAAGAGCAATGATTTATCATTTCCCTGAAATTCAACTTTAACTGGTATCCTGTTTTGCTTATTTATTTTCAAATCAGGCAACTGTAATATCACTGATCTATTATGAGAATAATTTTCACATTGTATTTAAGTGGTTCAGCCAATTTCACATAGGATTTCAACAGTTCAACCTCAGAAATTAGACAGCATTGATTTGAAGCTTAGCTCTTTTTTTTAAACTTATGAGCAGCTTACATTAGGACAGCGACTTAGACCCTGTATACATCACTTATTTCATCATTAAAATGAGGGGAACATGAGGCCTTCATTCAGAAGCTGTTTGCAGAATTTAATGTTAATAAAAGCAGAATGTTGAAGAGTTATTGACACATATTAAGTGTTCAATAAAAGTTAGCAATTTCTATTGTTTTTATTGTATCTCTTCTGTTTTACAAGTATAATAGCATTTAGTATATCCCTGCAGAGAATGCAATAGGTTATGTAAATAATATACACTTTCTATTACCTGAACTATTATATTTTGGCACAGACTAGCTCAATATACTGTAAGAACCTTACAGGTACTGTAATTCTATAAGAAAAAAATCTTGTATCTTATGTGGCACAAAATCAATACATAAAATTAATACAAGTAATTTGAACTGCAAGATGGCTTCACAGAGATGGTGAAATTTAAACTGAGCCTGAAAAAAGACTATAGTGTTGACCCACAAAGACGGTGGAGAAACTAAAAAAAAAAAAAAAATTTTTTTGAAAAGAAGCAGTAGCTGAATTCACTTTTTAAATTTTATTTATCTACTTTTTAACTGAAAGATAAAATTATCCATAGCAATGAGGTAGCATGTAATGATTCAATACATAGACACACTGGGTAATATTTAAATCAGATTAAACATATCTATATCCTCAGATATCATTTCTTTGTGGTGAAAACTTCTAAAACCTTTCTTCAGCTTTACTGAACTATATCTTGAAGCATTGTGATTCGTATTCACCAGCTGTGTAACCACACACAGGAACTCCTTGTGCCTGTTTGACTAGAGAAGCCATTGACTTTCTGACAAAAAAGAAAAACCAGTTAGCAGTCTATCTGAATTTCCTACAAATATATGTGAAGATGGAAAAGACAGAGACGTAAAATATGAGTCAAAGCCAATATGGGCAAACAATCTGTTAAAATATTTAGAAAAATGTGTTCAGCCACAGCACGCAAACTGACTAAAGAAGGTTAGGAGAAATCTCAAGCTTCTCTTCTTGTGACTTATTGTAGGACTCTTCGCTAAAGGCATTAATAATGTTTGAAAAGACAATAGTGAGCTCTTAGTGCATCTGTTCTACCCTTCTTATGGTGGGGAAAGTGGGGATGCAGTATTTATTTTGCTTTAGAGAGTGCCGTGCACCTCAAGGGCACTGTAATTTTGGTTTTGGATCTCCTACCCGCCAGACGCCGTCAGGTGGTTAGGCAGCATTTCCAGTGTCCTGAGACTGCTCACAAAGCTGAGGACTCATTAAAAGGGCTCAAGGGACTCATCATGTGCTGTACTCAGAGCTAAAATCTGTTGCACAG